CTCAATTACAGGCAATCCCAGTCAAACAATGCCCGTTCCTCTCCCACACTCAATCAGCCAGGACTCTGCAAGAACTCTAAGTGCTTCCACACACTGCTAAACACAGTTTTCCCACAAAATATCCTTAGCTGAATTCTCTCAGCTGAAAGCAAGTAAAAGAAACCCACTCACCTCTCTCACAGCTCTCTCTCCTGCTCCTGCTCAGAGCTCAGCTGGTCTCCTCTGCCTCTGGCAAGGTGCTTCCTTAAATAGAGGCCTCCCCCAGCAGAGGTCAGGCAGCAGCTATTCAAATTCAAATTCACCCAGGCACTCAATCACAGGCAAAACAATGCCCCTTCCACTTCCTCTCAATTACAGGCAATCCCAGTCAAACAATGCCCGTTCCTCTCCCACACTCAATCAGCCAGGACTCTGCAAGAACTCTAAGTGCTTCCACACACTGCTAAACACAGTTTTCCCACAAAATATCCTTAGCTGAATTCTCTCAGCTGAAAGCAAGTAAAAGAAACCCACTCACCTCTCTCACAGCTCTCTCTCCTGCTCCTGCTCAGAGCTCAGCTGGTCTCCTCTGCCTCTGGCAAGGTGCTTCCTTAAATAGAGGCCTCCCCCAGCAGAGGTCAGGCAGCAGCTATTCAAATTCAAATTCACCCAGGCACTCAATCACAGGCAAAACAATGCCCCTTCCACTTCCTCTCAATTACAGGCAATCCCAGTCAAACAATGCCCGTTCCTCTCCCACACTCAATCAGCCAGGACTCTGCAAGAACTCTAAGTGCTTCCACACACTGCTAAACACAGTTTTCCCACAAAATATCCTTAGCTGAATTCTCTCAGCTGAAAGCAAGTAAAAGAAACCCACTCACCTCTCTCACAGCTCTCTCTCCTGCTCCTGCTCAGAGCTCAGCTGGTCTCCTCTGCCTCTGGCAAGGTGCTTCCTTAAATAGAGGCCTCCCCCAGCAGAGGTCAGGCAGCAGCTATTCAAATTCAAATTCACCCAGGCACTCAATCACAGGCAAAACAATGCCCCTTCCACTTCCTCTCAATTACAGGCAATCCCAGTCAAACAATGCCCGTTCCTCTCCCACACTCAATCAGCCAGGACTCTGCAAGAACTCTAAGTGCTTCCACACACTGCTAAACACAGTTTTCCCACAAAATATCCTTAGCTGAATTCTCTCAGCTGAAAACAGCTCTCTCTTTATCGCTCCTCGCCTCAAAATGATAAAGATCAGACTTCCCTCTTAGCTACACATTACAACAATAAAAGGGATTTTCACCTTAAAAACAAAAGGGATGACATGTAGGAGGGCAGTGCTGACTGCGTGGCAAACCCGCACGAGGGCACTGGTCTCCTGGCTGTTCTCCTGGAACAATTGGGAACCTAGCTAATTGCACAAGGCGGATGGAATGTAGGAACAATGTTGTCGGCTTTTGTGAGGCAGGCCCGAAAGTGGTAACATTGTTCCTGCATGGAGGACACGTCTGCTGATATGCTAAATTCATCATGTGAAGCTACCTTGGCAAAAAGGATTTCACATTAAAACAATAATAAAAGGGATGACATGTAGGAAAGCAGTGCAGGAATCCCCTGGCTGGAGGTTGGGAGCTGAAATACTTATACGTCATGAGAGGCCGAGATGGAATCTGTTTACTGCTCACTACGCAGTGAGTAGCCTTGAGAAAGGCAGATAACAGAGAGCTTGCCTGAGAGAACGAGAACACACACACACACACACAAACATTCCTTAAGGATGCTCTAATGCTTGAAGGGGGGGAAAATGTGTATAAAATAAAAGCTTGAAGCCGGGAGGTTTCAGTCAGTTCCTGACAGTTCCTGCAAGCTTGTCTCCTGTCGTCTTTGTGTCGCCTGCACCCCACACCCTAACGAGCAGCACCGCAGGCCCAGGCGGGGTCAGACTTTGTTAAGATGATACAAGCCATTTAAATGCAACTGTCATGATCAATGGAGACCGGACGCAAAATATTGAAATTCAAAAAGGGACAAGACAAGGATGTCCGCTCTCACCGCTCTTATTCATTTTTGCACTTGAAATACTCAATGACTCAATAAGAAGAGAAAAACAGATCAATGGACTTAAGATGAAAGGAAAGGAATTCAAACTACTGGCATTTGCAGACGATTTAGTCTTTATCTTGGAGAATCCCTTGTCTTCCATAGTTATTTTGAAGGAAAAACTTCAAGATTATGGACAGGTAGCTGGGTTGAGAGTCAATATTAATAAAATCAAGATTCTAACTAAAATATGGCTATAGAACAGGGAAAACAATTACAAGAAATTGCAGGAGAAAATAAAATACCTAGGAATTATGTTGACAAATAAGTGTAGTGCTCTACAAGAAAATAACTACAAAGAATTGCTGAAGGCAACCAAACAAGATTTAGAAAAATGGAAAAACTTACAGAGATCTCTAATGGGTCGAGTTGCTTTAATTAAAATGAATGTTCTTCCAAGATGGATTTTCCTATTCCAGACAATTCCCATTTTGCAAAGCCAGAAAATATTCAAGGACTTTGACCAATTGGTCTCGAAATTTATTTGGCAAGGGAAGCGTCCTAGAATAAGGCTGAAGGCCTTACAAGACTTTAAAGCAAGGGGAGGCTTTGGATTTCCTAATTGGACCTTATATTATAGAGCAGCGGCACTGGCTTGGATTAGAGATTGAGTCATTCGAGACGATTGGAGAATATTAAGGCTAGAAGGCCATGACTTGCAGCTAGGATGGCATGCATTTTTATGGTACGGGAAGGCATCAACTCACAAGTATTTTAAGCAATATTGGCTTCGTGCATCCTTATTGAAAGTCTGGGAAACCATATTTAAACAATATTATACAAGAAATTCAAGATTGATTGCTCCTTTAGAAGCTTTTACTCTACCAAATATTTATGAAGAAGAAAAACCAAGAAGATACCAGGATATGTTGGATTCTAAAGATGAGTTGAAACCATTAGAGAATTTACCGTGGTGGAAAAGAGCCCAAGTAAAATCTAGATTTACTAAAGATAAAAGGATAGGATTCTATGATAATCTGTTGGACATTGAAAAGATTATGACAACGACTGAGCAAATATTCATAAAAAGAACTTATACTGTTTTACTTAATGATATGATGCTAGAGGAAACAGTGAAAGGAAATATGATCCAATGGGCCCAAAATATAGGTCATAATATTGATTTAGAGCAATGGGATCAAATACGGAAGAAAAATGTAAAAATTACAAAAGCTGTATCTTATAAGGAAAATGTGCACAAAATGTTTTATAGATGGTATATTACACCAGAAAGGTTAGCGACCTATGATAGCAAATGTTCTAATAAGTGTTGGAAATGTGAAAAGAAGGTAGGTTCATATGTGGTGGCATTGTGAAATAAGTAAAAAATACTGGGTATGGATCCATGAAGTGATGCAAAGGGTTTTAAGTACGGCTATACCATTTACACCGGAGGCATTATTGTTAAATATATTGCCAAAAGACTTTAGTAAAGATGACTGTGTACCTAACTACTGCAGCCAGAATGTGATATGCTAAATATGGGAAGATATCAGAGATACCTACAAAACGAGAGTATATAAATAAAGTCTTGGAAGCAGCAGAAATGGACGAATTTAATTTATTGATGAAAGGAATTCCGGACTCTACATTCCAGAACACCTGGACCCGATTTTACAGTTGGTACAATAAATAGGCTTAGGCGGTAGTCATGAAAGGACACTAATACAGAAGATACAGCATGTTTGATATGACCCAGTAAGGTAGAGATGTGATGGTATTTACTCACAATTCCCAAAGGTAGAAAGAAAGGCTTAAGAACCTGTATGAAGTATGAAGGTTTAACATCCACCCCCCCCCCCGCCGCCCCGTTAATGTCTTGTCTGTTGTTTGTCTGTCTGGATGTTTGGCAAGTCTGTCCTGTCACTAGAAACCAGTGCAAGCTCTGCTCTCTGGGGCGATACAGAGTCCTCTCTCTCCCCCCCCCCGCCCCGCCCCCAGTGAGCCATAGAGTCCTCACAGGGTCCCTGTTCAAGTTTTAAGATAACTTGAATTTCCCCAATACCCCATCGGCTGTAGAATTCCCTGTGACTGGGTTTTCTCAAGTTTTAGAATATTTGAGCAGAGCAGAAACCAAGTTCACCTCACAAGCCATAGAGTCCTTGTGCAGGCTTTTATATATCCTTGGTTTTAGAATACCAAGTACAAATCTTTACGCTCCGACTTTGGGCTCCCCATTTTCAGTTCTTCCCAATCTCTTTAGGCTTTGTTGTTGAGCTGACTACTGGTTAGGCAGCTCCGCAGAAGGCTTCCACATTGATGATGAGAGGATTGAATCTAAGGGTAGCTGGGTTCTTTAAGGGGTGTGATTTTCTTCTTCGTGTGTAGTGTTGATGGTTAAAATGCCAAGAGATTTAAACATAATTTGGAGAATACGGATATCACATGGTCAGACCAACTATCCAATTGGGGACCTTGTCTTAAGAGGTCTTGACTGGCCCCACTTATGGAATTGATATAGGCTGTTAAAAACATTTGGATTTTTCAGATTGGCATAGTACTCTTTCATTTGACACAACATGTATTCTCCTGGGGCTTTCTTTATCTGGCAGTTCCCGTAGGGTACCGGAACTGCACATGCACAGCTAGTTGCCGAAGCACGGGCAGCATATAAGATGGCAATTCCCAGAGTAAAGAGGGATAACAAAATCATATTTACCAGTCCCAGTTTGCATGGCTTAAAAGGAAGATGATTTTGAAAGGAAAATAGTTATGTATGTTCTACCATTCTCTAAGCGTATTGTACATGAATTTCTCAGTATTTGAGGGCGGGAGGAAAGGAAAGGAGCAAAAGAAAAAAGGACCCCAAACCAAAAAATAAACTATTGTGCAAACAAAAATATTGCGCTCCCCTCCTTTTTTCTTTTGCCATTAGCAGGAGGGGCAGGTGTACCAAAGAACAATTCTATTCCCGATTTAAGGAGCCATGAAGGTTTATGATACGTCTATGAGTGGTAGCTCAGGTGCACAGTTCAGTGAAACCTGCCGGGTCTGGACTGAGGATACCTGTGTGGGTAGGCCATTTTAAATCCCCGAGGGTAGCTTCCTCTGGGAAAAATTAGTCTGAGCATTTGGCTCATTAGGATTACCCTGATGACAACTGGTACGAAGGCCAGCGAGCATGTGCAGAGCGCCGCTGCCGGGGGGGAGGGGAGGGGAGGCCGCGCTCCCCCCCTGTGGGCCCCGCCAAACGGTGGGGACACCATATTGCTGCAGGCATTCAGCTTGGAATGGGTTGGATCTGTGCAAATGACTGTGTGTGTTCTAGTATTTGAATCCTCTAGCCGTTATTAATATTAGCCAGGATCTTCTCTGTAATGCAGCCACATGCTAATCAAACCAAAATACTCCAGGGAGATAAAGATAAGGCGGCCGGGTTCTTGTAATGTTTTGTCAGTTATATTTTGACAGGATCGGGGGAGCAAAGGATACATTCCCTAGAAAGATGATCTGTCTTGCAGATGCAGAGGGCGCTTAGTTGCCAGTGGGTAGGCAAGTACCCAAGGAAGGCCCTAGGAAGAGTGCCTGAATAACGCTGCAGGGATTGCTTCAGTGCTCAGCTGAGGTTATGAAGAACTGAGCTGTGGCTCACGATAGTTCATGCTGAAATAAATGTCTTCAGGGGAGGGGGTCCCCAACCCTTTGAGCCTGTCAACGATGCTCCCTCTAAGCTGTGGAGTCCTTTGAGCAAAAATCCTACTTTGTGAGCTCCTGGCATTAAAGCTGTGAGCGAGTGATTTGGCTGCTGCATCAATTAGTGTGCTCTGGAGCCCCATCCTTCCCGAGCTAAGCCAAAAACATGTGAGCTGGAGGCTAAACAACTGTGAGATAGCTCACACTAGCTCAGCTTAGAGGGAACACTGCCAGTCAGTGCCGCAGAAGGCAGGGCCAAACATGAAATAGCTGTCGCAGCTTTCCTTCAGTCACACAGTACAAATCCATGCGCGGTGGTGGTGGTGGCGGCAGCTGCTAAAGCAACACTAATAAAAATCTGCACAGCCAATCAGAATTCTTGCTGGGCAAAAGCTCCGCCTGTCCCTGCCTGCATCCTACAAACACTTGGGTGCCAGGAAACGTGTCACCCATAAGGCACCCAGCTGGGGGGGCCCTGCTTTAAGGTGCCATTGGACTTCCATTTTATTTCCCAAGTCCTGTAGGTGGCGTAACAACGCTTGCTGATGTTTTTGACGGCTCTCTCTCTTTGCAGTCACCCTGTACGGCGTGTTTACGAGCTGCTCTTCTACCAAGGGCCCCTCTCACTCTCTTCTCCTGGAGTTGCTGGACATCAGTGTGTCAGAGCTCCTGGTGCATTCCAGTCAGCACGGCTGCTCCATGTGGATGACCCAGCACTGTGCCCGGGATGTCCTGGAAGCCGTGGCGTTCCTCCACCACAAGGGCTACGTGCACGCTGACCTGAAGCCGCGCAACATCCTCTGGAGTGCGGAGCAGGAGTGCTTCAAGCTCATTGACTTTGGACTCAGCTTCAAAGAAGGGAATCAGGTTGGCCAAGCAACACGGAAACTGTCTAGGGCCATGGGGTGTCAAACGTAAGGCCCGGGGGCCGGAACTGGCCTGTCCAGGGCTCTTATGTGGCCCGCGAGCAGCTGGTGCAGGGGAGGGAACAGGAGGCTGCTGGGGGGTGGGGAGCCACTCCAATTGTGGCTTCAGCACAGCAGAACAACCACGTCTGCAGCAGTCAAGCAGTGCGGGAGTGTCTGCCCAGTGCTGCACTGCATCAGTCCGCTCATGGGGGTTTTCCTCTACACCCCCTCCCAGGCCATGGGGGCCTTGCAGTGAGGATACACCAAATCGGAGCTGACCAGCTGCTGTCCTTTATAGAAGAGTTTATACCTCTGGTGCCTGGCGTAATGTTTTATGGCACGCATGGCCCAGCCCGACAAAGTGACATTTATGTCAGATCCAGCCCTCGTGACAAATGAGTTTGATACCTCTTGTTTAGGCTGTCTTTTGAGAGACGTCACTGACCTTTCTCTCTCTCTCTCTCTCTCTCTCTCTCTCTCTGTCTCTCTGTCTCTCTGTCTCTGTCTCTGTCTCTGTCTGTCTGTCTCTGAAGGCGAGGGGGCATCCAGCAATCAGGATTGCTGCAGAAAGTCAGGTGGCTGAATATTTTTAGGTGGTCCTTGTCAGCTGAATCTAACTGTAGCCCAGCGTCCCGGCATTTGCCAACTACCCCCTCCCCCTCAAAAACGTTGAAGGATGGATTACTGCACATGGTATATATACTGCTTCCTCTTACAGCTGGTAAACTGGTTATGCCAGCTTTTGCATTTTGTTTCAAGAACCTGCAAACCCCTTTTTTGTCCAAAGAGCAGCTGAACAAAAGGAAGTGTGTATACCATAGGAAGCAGTACCTCTTTCAGAACACTTTCAGCTCTGTTTGAAACTGATGTCTGTCTCCAGTTACGAAACTGTTCACACATCTCCATGAGCTAAGAGCAGGAAGCCTTCATTATGTTTTGTGTATGTCGCACTTTTGAAAAAATCTCTCCTGAATCCTTTATGCAAAAAATAAGTGCACCTTTCTTTCACTGTGAACCATCACGTTGCCAGCAGACATGGAGGAAAAAAACCCATCGTGTTCCTTTAGAATCCTGTAGGATCCAGCAGGTGAAGCTTTCCATGGCATGGTTTTAGGGACCATCACTTAATAAATAACACCCCATTAAAGATTAGGACACTGAGCTGCAGACTGGAAGGTCTGTAGTTCGGCAGTTCAAGACTCTGCGTGACGGAGTGAGCTCCCATCTCTGGCCCCAGCTCCTGCCAGCCTAGCAGTTCAAAAGTAAGAAATTGCAAGTAGATAAATAGGAACCACTTTGGTGGGAAGGTAACAGCATTCTGTGCGCCTCGGCATCTAGTCATGTCGGCCACATGACCACAGAAAAGTCTTCGTAAAGCGCTGGCTCTTCGCCTTGGAAACGGAGATGAGTGCTGCCCCCTAGAGTCGGATTCGACTAGCTTTCAAGCAAGGGAAACCTTTACCTTAAAGGGACAGAACACATTCTCTCCGAGCTTTTGGCACCTCTAATGGGTCATACTGATAACTAAGATATATGGTGGGGTTTTTTTAGGGTATGAAATCATTCTAGGCCATTATCACGCCACACTTGGTAGTTACTAGCAGTGGGGTGAAGGCAGGTGGTCATTAATTCACATGAGCACTAGATGTATACTGTTAGAGTGATGAAGCTTGTTAGTTTACAAAGATTCAAGCCCCGGTGTAGCTGATGGGTCTTGTAGGAATCTTCTCCACTAGCCAAGTGACAGAAAATGCAGAAGAGCAATAGATACTTTATCAATGAGGTGAGGTGAAGGAGGTTGTGTACTGAAACTTATTTGTTACGGTAGTTTGAAGTTATGTAAACCAGTGGAGCTGCTTCTATGGTTTCCTTATCACTGTTCTTCGCCACACTTCATTAATAACAGATCCATTAGTGTTCTGGGCTTTCTCTTACTTAGTTATGTAATTGAGCTCCTCTTTTTATAGACGGGGAGCTGAGTCTGTGGCATGCCTCAGCTTCATGCCCTGCTGGTGGGCCCAGCTCTCCTGGGCCAAGGCTTGGTGCCTCCAGTACTCTAGTTGCAGGCAACGCCTCCCCTCTCAGGCCTCCTGGGAACCAGGGAATCCTAAAGGGGGAATGGAGCCACACACTGACCATGGAAAACCCAGTTGCTTACCAGCCCTCCTGATCCTCCAGTGGAAAACCTTTCATTTGAGGGAGGGAAGCCAGTAACAACTCCTGCCTTACAATGGTTCCACCTGGTTTCTGAAAAGCTTGGCAGGCACCAAAGGAAGTGCTGGCGGGCACCATGTTGGGGAACTCTGGTCTATTTAGATGAAAGAGTG